ATTGAACCCGGAACCTCTAGCACTCGAAAACATTTAAAAACACAAATAATGCTGCATAACTGTGAATATTTATAAGGTTGAAATTAGTTGAAAACATAAAAACCATGCAACCACAAGCACACCGATCGATAAAACAGTGTTACATTAACTGTAACACTCAGCTCATCAGACATTCCTCTCCAGCTGTTTTATGTTCAGCAGAATTGGCGATGAGAACGCTCTTTGACTGCTCTCTGTGTTCTCATGTGTCAATGAAGATGACGCTTTCATTATTGTTTGTTGCTGGGCTGTTTAAGCTTTCCGCGTGCATCAGTGTGTGCGTTTGTGCTCGCGTGTGTGTCCGTCCGTCTGTCCGTCAGCTTTGCTGTGCCTTCCTTTGCTTCACTTAATGTAAAATTGATATCTTTATATTCAGCGTCGCAATGTTGTATTATATAATACAGTGCTGCATTATTTATAAACATTTTATGATGTTGCTATGTTATAAACACAAGGTAATGATGTTCTAAAAACAAAAATTATATCCTAAATCTAAAGCATATTACACGGCCTACTCTATTTATAAGCCAAACAGGTCAACGGGAATTCCCGTTCTTGTGCAAGAATGGAGTCCCTCTGTGTCCACAGTTTTTATTGAGATGTTCACAAATTAAACTACAGTTTCAATAATTTTCGACATATTTTATAGAACTATACGTAATTTTTAATGTAAACAAGTGTGCTATTTAAATATAAAAATAAAGGCTCTTACAGACAAACAAAAATGCTTTTGCAACAGTCAACATGAACATAAACATCAATAACGTTTGGATATGAACTGAAAGTTATTCCAACAAAAGTAAAGAAATATCAGTGCTAACTCTTTGATTCTGAGAGAGTATTGTTGTGTCAGAGGAGCGGGGGGGGGGGGGGGGGAATTGACATTTGACTTTATCAAATTTAGCGCATAAAAATACTGCTGTGGAACATACACGTCGTACATAACATAAATATAAATTATTGATGGTTATTATTACAAAAGTAGACTACTATTAGTAAAGAAGCACAGTCAATATGAAATTGATATGTGCAATAACTTTTCACCCAGAGCAGTTCTCTTAACAGTACTTATAGCCCTCCTAAAAATGTATCCTCAAGGTACAAACAGCAAAAACAAATTTGTCCAATTTCATCACGTTAGATGAAATCAATTCCTTATCATTGTGAATTTTTTTGGTAACTGTTTAAAAATACATCACAAATATTTCTTAATACTGCATGCAACAACGCGTATTAGTATTTTAAAGGTAATTAAAGCAAATTAAAAAAGACCATATAACTGCAAATGCTGTGCAACATACACAAATCAAACAAAAAAATTCCCCATATAGATACCGGATCTCGTTGTTCAAAACAGTGTCTGGAACAAGACTAAAGCCCAGAATTAGATAAACAACCAGAAGTTTCTGCCAGAGTTTACAGCCAGTGTTCGCGAAGCAGAAGACAATTCACAAAAATGAACACAGACCGTACAACTGCAAATATGCATAAGAAGTAGACGAACAACCAAACGTTTCTGCCAGAGTTTACAGCCAGTGTTCACGAAGCAGAAGACGATTCACAATAATAATAATATTATCAGTGTACTTCTACAATATATAATTATACTGTTAGTCAACAATTAGTAAAGGGGCAAAGAGTGACTTGCTGTGTGGGGTTAGTTAGTCAATTAAATATTGTTTTTATGCACTTACTAAGAGCTCCGACATATCTTGACACAATTTATCCACAGTGTGGTTGCACCATTTATGCAGTCAATATGAAAGCAATAGTTTTCTTCCAACCCAAGATAGTTTACACCTGACAACAGTCGATATTCTCCAGATATGGCTTCTAAATTACCTGTTTGTATTTTTCCCACAGTAAGATTTCTACATTCAAAGTAGAAAAAGAATAAACAGCCAGTTCCCAAAAATTCAAACTACTGACTAGAAACAGTGACACACACATCACAACCCGACTGCCTTCCGTGAATTATTGTTATAATTGCTGTAATCTAACAGCAAAGTTTGAAGATCTTGTAAATCCACTTCACAATATCCGCTTGTCGATTTGTCATACGAATACATTCAGAACACAGAACTTTGTAAGCATATTAATATGTCACACGATGCAACATGGAAACGCTTCCAGTAACAAATTGTCGAGGGGACTCCGCCAAAATGTACCGTAATTTAGTTGGTAGGCATTATTAGAGAAGGCGTTGGCATATTATTACAATGGCTGTATTAATTCTAAAATCAAAAGGGAAATCATATACCCTTCCAGAGGCCGTGTCTAACTTCAAATTTTTATAACTAAGTAACCGTTTGTTGTCAATTGTCAAAATTTGGCATGCAACCTGTTAATAACCGTGTAAGAAAAACAAAATTAATGTAAACAAACATCTAGTTTTTATTCCCCCCCCCCCCGTCCCCCCCCCCTTTTTTTTAAGTAAAAAAAACAAAACCCCCACTAATTCAAAGCAACAATCCGCACGATTACAATTAAGTGAGTAACGGAAACTTTTCAAAACATCAAATTGCAGACGTTTCATAGATGTTTCACTCTCAGGTGCTTATCTCTGGCATTAGCCTCTCGTGACTTAAATGACCAGAACGTTTTCATCGTAAGCCAGATAGGCCATCAAAATCATCACTACGCGTCGCTGCACATGTGAACTGATTTCGAAACAATCTTCCTGTTAGTTAATTACAGTATATTCTCTTTTTTAGGGGTACACAAATTATTAGTCAAACCAAGATGAAAGAAATTCGCTGCTTTAGAAAACCAGCAACTTTGTGCAACTGCAAATGATAAAATCAAAAGGAAATAAGAAATCTAAGGCCACATGAAAAACTTCGTGCTGTTCCGTATAGGAGTTTTCGAGACATTTTATTGTAGTGTGATGGCACGACTGTTGAAAGGCACTACAGCTATATACATTTAATATACAGTTTTTATTACTTTTCAATAATGCTTAGCTGTTTGTCGTGCACTTGGATGACTTAACCTGTATAACCTGTATAAGGGCAGGTTACGCTACTGCACAAACAAATGCTTTTGCAGGCATGCCTAATGCTTCATGGACGCTATGCTGTTTTTGTCTGTTTCAGAGGCGAACGAAGATGAGGACGTCTGGGAACGAGGTTTGTGTCTACCGCTGGAATCAGTTCTTTTGGTGCTTTTGATTTGATTTTAAACTAGAAAACAGAACTTATTTTACGTGGCGCTAGTTTTCAATCCTGTGTTTTTAAATGTCATTCACAAACACACGAACGGTCCACCCCTCCCCCACTCACACACAGAGACATATACTCACACATACATACAAATTGAAACGACTAGATATTCGATATTCGCATGCTCACAGCGTTTGCTTGCGATGTCATCATTGGTTATTTTCCTAGTAAAAAACGTGTTACTTAAATATGAAAGGGTGCGGAGAGGGGGGTTGGGGTGTCGACAACAGAAACAATGCGAAATCACTATACAGACATCAAATTAAACGGTTTCTACTAAAAGAGAATGCCTTCTGATGTCATTCATATTTATAAAACATACCGAAAAAGAAGAGGGGAAATCAAGAGCTCGGGTTAGACCAATGACGGGGTGGAAAGATAACAATGGAGAAACTCTACAATAGTATTAAGTTCTATGGTCTGGGCGGCGAGAAAATCTTGAACCAGAAGCCTGTATCTCACTCGACACTCCCTGTGGTAAAAGGAAAAGGAAGAACATGAGTTACTGAGTACAACAGGGCAGGCCAATCAATGTTAATATTAGAGGTAGCCGCAGATTGCCCTTAACTAAGCCTAATTAAGAAGATAAACAGACCATCTGGTACATGTTCCTGATGGGTTGACATCAAGCTTTCTGTAGTGTCGAACCTTCGGGTAGCAATCCGGTGAGGAAAACAGCAAGTTTGTGTAAAGGTTGAAGGGGATATCTTTTTGGATAGACAGACAATGGAAAATCCGCTAGAAACAAAGTCAAGCTGGATGCAAGCAGAAATTGTCACACGTAATAACTCTATCGCCTAAAAGTTATGTCCTTCTCTGTCTGTCTGTCTGTCTGTCTGTCTGTCTGTCTGTCTGTCTGTCTGTCTGTCTGTCTGTCTGTCTGTCTGTCTGTCTGTCTGTCTGTCTGTCTGTCTGTCTGTCTGTCTGTCTGTCTGTCTGTCTGTCTGTCTGTCTGTCTGTCTGTCTGTCTGTCTGTCTGTCTGTCTGTCTCATCTTCCCTCAATCCCCAACAGAGTGTAGGCCACTAACCAATCCTCACTAAGTCATCGTAACCTGGCAGCTCACCCTCATAAACTTCATTTCTTCTTCACCTCTTTCTATAATTCTCTTCACCATAATTGTTCAGTCTGCTTTTATTCCGTTGACCATGGGATTTCAAGTGCCAGGACACTTCATTTAGATTGTTGCATGTCGTAAGAGTCGACTAATTGGGAGTTTCCTCAAAGTCTGAAAGCATTTGCACGAGAGGCAAGGAACTAACAGTCTGCTTACAATTGAGTAAGATCTGTAATACGGATGCACACGCAACACTCAGGTTTTGGAATAGGACTGTAGTCCGGAAGCGGACGAACAACCAGAACTTTTCGTCAGAGTTTACTGCTGGTGAACGCGAAGAGGAAGAAGAAGCTATCAGTTGTTCAAACTGAAGGTCACAGGTCGACATGGTAATTACGCGTACTGTACATTGTATGTGTCAAAAAAGTTCTCTGAGATACTGAGAGCAGAAGTACGGAATTAACACTTTATTTCAACCAACTGACTGTTTTCTATCATTCGTTGCTTCTGTTTGAAATACGCACTATAAGATAAATTAGTTGCGTATCATTTACAGGATGTTCAAGAACCAACCCCAGCATTTTTTAAGCCTTATATTGTCGACTCCTGCTGAAGTCCAATAAACGTGGTTGTAACAAATTTGTGAAAACGAGTGCCTGATTCTTTAACCATTTTTTTTTTCAGAGTTCGGCCCTGAACAGCAGCCTCCCCGTGACCAGACAGTTGAAGGTAAATTCAACAAATACGTCACTAATGTTTAACGTTATTAATGTTTTCGTGTAAAGATATCGAAACAAACAAAAAGTAGAACTAGTCAGCTTCACACTACCACACTCACAAACGATAAGTGAACGTTGCGGCTAGATATCCTTCATCAGTATATTCTTCTTCTGCTAATTCTTAGCGTTCATCAGCAATAAACTCCGGTGGAAAGTTTTGGGATATCCTCCAGCCGAGACTTTAGCCTTGATCCAGAACTTGGGTTTTGCGTGTGCACCGTTTTACATAACTGGCTTTTTTGTATGTAGACTGTTGGTTCCTTGCCTCCCAGACAGATGCACTTCGACTTAGAGAGAAACACCATTAAAAAGTCGCCTACTACAACATGCTTGTTCTGGAGGGAGCAGTTTGTCTAGTATTTGTTCTCTTCAATGGAGCACCCGAACCCACACGGGATATCAGCTCATGACTTGAATACACAATGCTAAAATTACAAACAAGAATAACAAGAATCACTTAAATAAGGTATCTCCGATAAAAATTCCCATATCTCGTTTTCCAGTTGAAGCTCTGACACTCGCACCCTTGTATTTATTTGGTCACTTAGTATTGAAATATTAAATCCTACATTCTGCGAATGCACTATATTCTTCTATACATCACGACAAATTTGTGTTTTCATTTTGCCTATGATGTTAAGTAGGAAAACAGGAGCATTGTGGTCGCATTTCCGTGAATTTATTTTCCTTTATGACTCTCATTCGTTATTGTGGGTTAGGAAACCTGTTGATTTATTCGCTGATGAAGACATATCCTGACGATCCAGACGATCAGTTGTATTTGTGTGTGTCGTTTCCTTTTCCTTCATTAAGATACATAGCTACAGTTTGTTCTGTGTTTAAGTGTATTTTTTTCTTTTTCTGGCAGAATGCAACAATTTGCAGTACGGACACCTTTTGTAAGAGATTCCTTTTATTTTGGCACTACTGTTATAGACTGTGCTGATACCAGCACCTTTCTTTGTACACTTTTGTTAAGTACCTTTCTCCCACCCCCACCCCCTCCCCCTGAAAAAGAGTGCCCTGGTTATGTTACTAGGACCGACCTATTGTATGGCTCTTCTTTTTCATCTTTTTTTTTTTTCCGTCTCACTGATACAAGCTTGTAGCCGAATGTAGTGGTCTTGACCTTCTCGGGTGCAAAGCCGATAGATTTGTTCATATCTTTTTGCAGGTTTCAACCACACCAGTTATCTATCTCTTTCTTGGTCTTTCCCTCATTCCTGCCAGAAGTTCTGCTGTAATTATAAAAACAAAATCTCTAACGCAGTTTGGTCTAGCTACAAACTCACCAAAAAGCAAAATCATTTCCTTCTTTGCATGTCAGTTCTATTCAATGATGGTCTTTTCCCAAGTGTCCTCTTCTTGTAATGTTACTGATCTCACGGAGATATCTCATGTCACAGGTAGTGATTTAAATGTTCTTATATTTCATTCCTTCTTGTATAGTAGCAGTTTATTGTGTGGTTTGTAATTGTAAATAGGGATTTGTAATTTTTGGCGACACACAACGGTACCCAGAAATGGTACCCTTTTGAGCGTCCTTTCCCAGGGCTACTGTTAAAGAAACATTATTGCGAGTACAGACAACTTTAAAAAAAAAACCTTTTTTTATAAGTTAAAAGTGTGTTGCTAATCCTTTACAGGACGTTGCAGAACCAACCCCAGCATTTTTTGGTTGTTGTGGTTTTTCTAGGCAAATTTTACGTTCAGGTGTTTGCCATTGTCGGCATCTGTGGCTTAGGCGTTGCGAAGACGCTTCGTAATGTCGAAGTGATGGGTTCGATCCCAGCTGCATGCCTTGCGCCTCGTGTTAGTTTCGACAGTGGTATCGAGAAGCCAACCGTCCAGAAAGCAATGGCAAACTATTGGACGTAAACTTGCATAGAAAAACCACAACAGCCAAAAAATGCTGGGGTTGGTTCTACAACGTCCTGTAAACGATACGCAATTAACTGCTTGCCATTACATTATTTTTCATGAGTACCAGCGCCCTGTAAAACAATTTTATGAGTATCGGCACCTGTTTGTAAACATTGTGGTGTGTAGAGGTATCTTCCTTAATAATTTTAAGTGAGTACCGGCACATTTGTTATTCTAGGGGGGGGGGGGAAAAAGAGGGGGGGGGGGGGGGGCATAATTTCAGGAAATGCTGAAATGAGTCAACATTACCTTGCTTTTTTTTTTTTTTTTTTTTGACAACTATCAGGATGCTTCAGCAAAGTGGCAGATATTTATTTTCATTCTGGATTCATCAACATCAATCTACATCAATGACTACAGAGACGTCCTTCAGTTTGCTAGAGACATCGTGGCTCGCCTGGACATCAGCCAGAGGAACACTCGAGTTGGAGCTCTCACTTTCAGCGACGATGTTTCAGTAAGCATGTTCATGATCTGCGCAA